AGTTCATGCTTGAAAACCCACACGTCACTGAGTTAAAGCAGTTCTGCATGGAAGAGTGGGCCAAAATTCCTCCACAGCGACATGAGAGACTGATCAACAACTACAGGAAGCATTTGGTTGGAGTCATTGCAGCTAAAGGTGGCACAACCAGTTATTGAGTGTAAGGGGGCAATTACTTTTTCACACAGGGGAATTGGGTGTTGCATAACTTTGTTTATGAAATAAATGAAATAAATATGTAATTGTTGTGTTATTTGTTCACTTATGATCCCTTTATCTAATATTATGTTTTGGTTGAAGATCTGATAACGTTCAGTATCACAAATATGCAAAAGTAGATAAAATTAAGGGGGCAAATACTTTTTCATAGCACTGTATCTCCTTTAGCATCCTGTGTTGTGTGCTTATTATTTGACCATTGATATGTTCTAGGCTAGTTTGAGATCTTAAGGAGCACCAGCTACTGCTGCAACTAGTCACTCAAAACATTTATAAAGTATTTATAAAGTTGCAAAACAAACTAACTAATGATTCGAAAATGGTTTATCAGGACCTTATGAATGGAGTAAATATGAATAAATGATGAATAAACTATTTACTAATCCAATATAAATGCTTTATTACGTGGAGTGATTATTATAAAGTGCTACCACCCTTTGAAATAGGACACCATTGAGAAACAGGACTGATAGGTTAATTAAATTATATGATATCCCTTTTAATTAATAGTCCAAAGACCTGCCAAGACAGCCGTTTGTAACTCATGGTGCGATCAATACCTTTGCTTTTTAGGCAATTAACTGTTGCAGGAGCCCTTGAGATGAAAGACACTGATATATATTCTATACCTCTGTATATTCCCCGTGAGTAACGGCTCCACCACAATGCATTCAATAAAACCTTTGTCCCACAAAAGCATTTCAACGTTCATATGAATTCAATTCATCAATGGGAACTGGCATAGAGAGAGACATAGTTCGACAAGGGAATTAATTAAAGCACACACAAAAGTAGACACAAATGTACAGCAGTGCTGTAATAGACAAAGGCTCCATAGCAGTACATACAAACACATAGAGACAGAGTGCAAGCGTCCCAGGTGCAAACAAACCATCACACACAGTTATAGAACCCAATAGGCCTCACAGGTCCACAACTGGCAGCTTCATTAAATGGTACCCGCAAAACACCAGTCTCAACGTCAACAGTGAAGAGGCGACTCCGGGATGTTTACCTTCTAGGCAGAGTTGCAAAGAAAAAGCCATATCTCAGACTGGCCAATAAAAAGAAAAGATTACGATGGGCAAAAGAACACAGACAACGGACAGAGGAAGATTGGAAAAAATAGTTATGGACAGACGAATCTAAGTTTGAGGTGTTCGGATCACAAAGAATAACATTTGTGAGACACAGACCAAATGAAAAGATGCTGGAGGAGTGCTTGATGCCATCTGTCAAGCATGGTGGAGGCAATGTGATGGTCTGGGGGTGCTTTGGTGGTGGTAAAGTGGGAGATTTGTACAGGGTAAAAGGGATCTTGAAGAAGGAAGGCTATCACTCCATTTTGCCATGCCATACCCTGTGGAGCCAATTTCCTCCTACAACAGGACAATGACCCAAAGCACAGCTCCAAACTATGCAATAACTATTTAGGGAAGAAGCAGTCAGCTGGTATTCTGTCTATAATGGAGTGGCCAGCACAGTCACTGGATCTCAACCCTATTGAGCTGTTGTGGGAGCAGCTTGACCGTATGGTACGTAAGAAGTGCCCATCAGGCCAATCCAACTTCAGATTACCTCAACAAATTGACAACTAGAATGCCAAAGGTCTGCAAGGCTGTAATTTCTGGAGGATTCTTTGACGATAGCAAAGTTTGAAGGACACAATTATTATTTCAATTAAAAATCATTATTTCTAACCTTGTCAATGACTACATTTCCTATGCATTTTGCTATATTTCCTATTCAAACTAATTTAATGTATTTTTTCATGGAAAACAAGGACATTTCTAAGTGACCCCAAACTTTTGAACTGTAGTGTATATATATTTGCGCCCATCTCAGTGAACTAATCCATTGCGGAGCCCTAGACTAAAAGCCAATTTATGCATGATCCGAAAATGTGGTCGGAGGCTCCATAAGGAGGGTGTGACGCAATTACGGAGCCTCCGGAGTCATGCAGAGGCCAAATCGAGCTCTGTACCGCATCGCCATGGCCTCCCAAATGTTGTAACAATGCGGAGGGCTCTGTATAGCTTCGTATTTACATGATTGGTTGACGGTAAGTGGGGGCAGTACATCCTGTATAAAAACAAACTCACTTCCTTGACAACTTCCTTCACAACAGCTCTGCACTGCTCTGCGAAGCGCAAGAAGTATGAATGCCATGACTTTTGCAGAGGCCATATCACCGTAAATGCAGATGTCAAATTGACCATGCAGCGCCAAGATGCACAATGCACTTCTCTCTCCAGAATGCGCTCTCTCCCGCCAATTTGTGCACATTCATTTTTCAGAACTTCATAGTGTGAATTGTTTGCGTTTGATTGTTAGTGTATATCACTTCCCCATTACATATATCACCAATAGTACATTCACTTTTAATTCCTATAATTTCTAATCTGGTTTGGTTATGATCATTTCTGTTAATGCATTCAATATATTATTATTCCAGTCTTACCGTTCTCATTGTCGGAGTGGACACATTGTTTGCAGAGCGCACAACCTATGCTACACTTGTGAGAAACAAGTTTTGGCTTATTTCATTCCATTTACAAGTTTTGTCAATTCAATTTAGTCATTGTCTTTTGTTTGGAGCACTCCTGTCAAAGTTGAGTAAGGACGCGCACCTGATTACGCATAAAAGTATATAGGCCTATAGACTACCTGGCCTGCGCGCAAATGTAGGCATATAAATGTGCCCATTTGGGGATCTGATAGTATTTCTGATTGGCTTAACGCACCACCCCGAACGAGCTGTGGAGCTTCTCAAAGTAATGTTTTCTTCACCTCAAACAGCAAGCAAACAAAGTCTGTTTTTACATCCATTGAGAATGACAATAGTTTCTCAATGTATTAAAAAAAAAAATCCAGCCATCTCCCTTTCAATAACCACTCAGCGTGAAAGGGAAAAATGTAATGCTCTGATCCAGTGGAAACCTCATAAAATAGGCCTACCTGATTAGTTCTTGTCAGTGCTTGACTGGGACTGAAATAGGTTCCGGTACTCATTTTGCGTGCTGGTACTGTTTATATTTAGGTGCAGGAGCTCCATAATACTTTTGAGCTAATATTCTATAAGAGGAACAGATTGTAGAAATTTGAGGTGCCTTTACTCAGCTCCGGTGAGCTCCTTCCCAATTCAAGCACTGCTTCTTATCCCTTGCGCATAGCCTACAGCTGTGTCTGTCCCGAGCTCACTGGCAGAGGGAAACTCTGAGGGCCCAGAATATTTTATACAATGTTGCAAGTTTCGCTAGCACAAGCTTTGGGCCGGACCCAGTTAATAGTTGATACAATGTTTCAAGTTCGTTGCTGACAGACCATGCGATATATAGGATTTTTTTTTTTTATCCGGATATTTTCTACCTGCAAGCTGCAATGTTTTTATTTGTTGGCTATTTTTACATAGTACATAGGCAATGGCAATAGAAGTTACTTTTGAAGTTTGTATCATTTTCATTTAGATTTGGATAGAATTTTGATTAACCGCATGACAATGGTTTAGATATATTTAGACGTTATTATAAATTAAATTAAACTGTTCCACAAATATGTGCATATGAAAACCATAACTGGAACGCAGATCGGTAGAAATGGTAAGATGAATTGGCATTCCATATGAGAAAGGTTACCGGCAACTTCAGGAGAGTAATGGCAGAATCTGCGAAAGCCAGCAGGACAATGGTTGGTTCAGGTTACGTTTTATTTATTCAGGTTATCTAGATCTCTGGCTCCCTCTTGAGTCATTTGTGTGTTATTTCATCAAACAGTAAGCTTAAAGCATCAGACAAGCTCAATGCATATAGTTGATTTTATTAAAACACATAGGGTGTCTATATATGAAAATATACACTTTAAAACATTTTCACCAATCGATTGGTCGAAAGAACAGACGAATTTCAGTAGACCACATTTTTTTTTAGTTGGGGACAGCCCTAGAACACACTGTTGTTCTATTCCAGGTGCAGACAGTCCATCTGCAACACCTGGCAATCGCAATACAAACTCGGCTTCTTTATCCGGAATTTGAATTCTGTTTTTTAAAATCTAATTCTGGGAATGGATAATGTGCTTTTCCAATGAGGTAGAGCACAGAACAGAAACTGTCACTCCAAACTGGAAGAGACAGTGTCTCATGGTTATCATTCATACCGAGACCAGATTAGATCATAAATGAAAGCAAACAAAGTATGCATGATTGGCAATTTGTAAGTCACTCTGGATAAGAGCGTCTACTGATGTAAATGTAAATGATGTAAATGTAATTGTAAATGTTATTAGGACTGCAGGTTTCCTTTTTGGGGGCTTCATTTGCAAATGCATGCGATACTCCTCTGGTGAGTGGAGCTGTGTTCATTGAGCTGCAAATGGCTTCTGTTTGAATAGCATTTGTGAACAGTGAAGGTTCTGCGGCCTGTTTGTCTGCTGAATGTTTACTGCCCACCTGTGTCTTGTTCCCTTGTCCGTGTTGTCTGGTTTTACACATGGCAACAGCTAATAATGTCTGCTGTTGTCCTATCATTGTGAGGCTGTTCAATTTCAAGTGGAGAGGTTTTGAAGTGGTGTGTTGCATTTGTACGAGATTATGAAATGAAACGCTATATTAGCTTGTAAACCTTTCAAACAGACTGAAAAATAGGGACATTTTATTAACTTCATGACAAAAATAAACTCAACATTTCTGCTCTGCCAATATAGATACATTCAGCCGTGTCCACCAGTACGTGAAGTATTTTAGAACCCAACACTAGCAATCTCCCAAAAAGGAAGGAAAGTAGTTAGGACTGGGGGGTCTGAATGGATAGTTCAGAGCTTCTGCTCTGTTCTATAACCTGTAGAGAACACAATATATGGTCTATACTTGGCATGTGGGTTTCTCACTTATGGGTGGCACAAATTGGGATATGGGGGAGGGGAATGGGCAGGGTATATGCAAATGAAATACAGTACTTTACTATAGTTTAAAAAATGTGTTTTTGCGGACTCTAATGTTTTTGCGGACATTACTGTTTTTTTTCCTTCAGGTAAAACTGTAGTATTTACTACAGTATTCTACAGTATACGACAACATTATATAGTAAGTCCTACACATGATTGAGGGATACTACAGTGTGTAGTATAGTGTTCTACAGTTTTCTACAGAATTCTATATGTGTGTCAATACAACAGATGAAGAGAAGACAACCTTAGTAAGCCTTACTGTGCATTTCTACTGTGTATGTCAGAGGGACAGAGCAATGCTCTGTGATCTGACATTACAATGTGAGATTCACATCTCTGATTGTGCTGCTCATGATGAGAGCTGTAGAGGACTACTGAGTCATGCGGTGGTTAAACATGAAACTCTGTTGTCCTGAGAGAAGAGGCAGAATCTAGAGAACAAAGCCTCAGGGAAACAATGTCACGCATTGGCGTCCTCTCTTTTCTCACACCACCCTGTTTGTTTGTTTGTTCTCCCTGTTCTCTCCTGTTTTTAGAGGGTACGTATATGTGTCCTCAGAGCAGAGCATCCTCCCTTTCTTCCTTAGGTGAGGTGTCTATTGTACATTCATTCAGAAACCCAGATTGAGATCAGACCAGGGGAGACATCAGAGAGCTGGATGAGATATTTGTTGCTCAAACTTGCACAAATGTTATAGTGGGTTTTTCTCTGACTCATGGTGCCCAGACACTTTCAGGCTCTCAACATCAGTCATATTCTGGCTAGCAGAAGATAGGAACCTCAAGGGTATGTAAATGTACTTGGCAAATAAAGTGATTATCATTCTGCCATTGAGTGAACTCCCATTCAGATCGAGCCAGGCGCTGTAACTGGAAGATGATGGCCATGTTTCCACGCCCCCACAACCCAGAGGCCCATGCATATCAGCCACTTTTCACCCACAGTCCCGGCCCAGGAAACCAGTCAGTATGACAGCTCTTGTATTAAACAGTCTGTGAGGTGACTGACAAAATGTGAGTGTTGTGTGTCCTGCATACACAATGGCCTTCCTCATTCCTGACTGCTAAATATTTCACAAATGCCCCATAACAGCTGGGCACAGAGGCAGGGTGACTGATAAGCAGTCTGGGGCGAGAGAGAGAGAGAGGAGAGAAGAGAGAGAGAGAGAGAGAGAGAGAGAGAGAGGAGAGAGAGAGAGAGAGAGAGAAGAAGGAAGAGAGAGAAGAAGAGGGGTGGGGTTGAGAGTGATATTTGAAATAGATAGATAGAGATAAATATAGATAGCGAGCGATCTATCTCGTCTTCCAGCTCTATCATCTCCTTATATTTACTGTTCACTTTTTATTGTTTATTTCACTTTTGTTCATCCAGTCCACTTACTTTGGCAATGTAAACATATGTTTCCCATGCCAATAAAGCCCCTTGAATTGAATTGAATTGAGAGAGGGCTATGAGGTGGAGAGTGAGAGAGATAAATGAAGAGAGAGAGAGCTATGAGGGGATTTAATCTTCCCTGAATGATTCTAACCATGCTTTTTAGCTAGGGAGCAGGGGCTGATTTCTACCTGGAAAAACACTATCAAGACAATCAGAAACATCAAGTGTCAGTGTCACCAACCAAAACACAAGAGTCTGAGGAGTGCGACGCTAGCCAAGATCTATACTCGAACAGAGCAGACCCACAGTCACTCTCACATGGGCTGGAGGTTTATGTGTCTGGGTGTGGCCATTCATCAAGTGGACTGGGGTTAAGTGGAGAGCCTCATGACCTGAAGGCAACAGATGAACATAGCTGTGACTCCAGCTGATCTATTTCAATATGCAGAGGCCCTATTGAAACACTTATCACCCTGGCAAGAAGCATATGTTATATAGAAGCATATGTTAAATAGCAACGTCAATGTCATGCAATGCATAGTGTTTATGGAATATGACACATGCTGATTATGACAGATAATGAGGAAATGCATGTTAGTTATCCTGAAGTTTGTCTGGCTGCCCATTTCCCATGTTCAAATTAAATGATATAGGGTTCAAAGAATAGATACTGCATGACAATAGGAATTTTCTGTGACATCAACAACCATTCAGCCTTGCTGACACGCACACACATTATCATCATCATCATCAGATATGTTTTTGATGCCTCAATGCATTGGTGAGGTATGCAAAGTTCTGAAAAGAATTGGGAATTTGAATTTGGAATTTGAATTACACACCTAGCAGATCCTCGTTACACAAACACAACACAATATCATTAGGAGGCCTTCATAAACCTGTCAAGATTGACAATGACACCCATCGCTGCGTTTTCTATGACATACACCCAGTTCCAAAACCCAATTGACAATATACACTGTGTAGTTACTAGTTAACAAACTAGGACATCCTAGAATGTCCTGTTTTATGCCCTTTTCACTGAATAAATGTTTAACTGACTCTCAGAAGTTACAATTAATCACCACCGCTCACTCTCCAAATTGCATTGTGAAATTATGAGCATTTAATGGAGTGGCTTGTTATTTCCCATAAACTCTCATTTAATTTAGAAAGTGTAGGCTTAATCCTGAGCTCACACACACACACACACACACACACACACACACACACACACACACACACACACACACACACAAACACTCTATCATATAAAATAGAGTGAAATAACAGAAATGTATTCAAAGTAATTCTAGTCCTAACATTATTGCCTCTAGCTGCTGACAGCTTATTTGGCAACCCTGGTTATACAGTCTATCTCTGGTAAAGGGGCCATAGTGTACACTATTGTCAAGTTCAGATCATTTTTCTTGAAGTACCCTTCACCCTGTCACCTGAATGCAAGTGTCTCAAATATTAAATGGATAAGAGGTCCTTGGCACAGGGGAAAAATGCACTTGAGTAAGTATGTGTGCCAAATTGCTTACACAAGCACCTGGATGTCAGACAGAGCTGTTGTACTGTGGAGGCTAAAGCCAGAAACACTGGTGAAGGAGTGGGAGTCAACTGATTTAGTTTATCTAGAAGTACTGAAGGCTGAATGGATCTCGACTACAGCAAGGTTTGAAAAAATCTTATACCATGTAAGCGTAAGATGGCTACCAGGGGCGTCCATTGGGTATGGCAGAGTATGGCATTCGCCATACCCTAGCTCAACACCAACAATTTAAAATAGGCTAATAAAATCATTCCAATCCCGATTAAAAGGGAAATGCAGTTTAGCAATACTAGGGGCTGGCTTTAGGACCATGCTGATAGCTGAGAGCCGTGTTTAGCGGTAGAAGAGAGAATGTTTTAGGACCATACGGACGCCTCTGGGCAGCGCGTCGAGGCAGCTGCATTGAAGAGTGAACAGCATGACTTTTCTCTCAGAACAGTGCCGAGGTGGAATATAGCTGTGTAGATGGCAAGGTAACTGCTGTTTGACTTGACATGGAACTAAACTAGTTTGTTAATCCCCGTGCTGAGCTGGTGCGTAGCATCTAATTGCTGTATGACACGTGTGTGAATGTTAAAGCCTGACTCAGTAAGTCCCAAATAAAATGACACTTTTTTTTCTGGTTTTATATATCTCGAAATGTATAGATAAAATACTAATTTGCCATTTGGGTCACTTCAAAGTGATAAAAATGAAGGTTGTTTACAAATGTACTGGTCAGATTTTCTCCAGGTAGTTATGACGCAAAAGGCCTATTGATAATGTATCTCGCACACTTTCTATCTGTTTCATTGATCCATCCACGACTACAGCAACACATCAACAATACATATATCTAGTTATATCCCTCTCATTACAAACGAGACTCATTATAAATGAGAGTTGAGTGATACAGAATAAAAGTGTAATTTAGCTGACAAATGCATGTCATAACGGTTAATAATATTGGCTCCTGGCTGTCAGTCCGTCTGTGCGTCTGTCTGTGTGCGACAACTGATGATGCGCAGGGGCACAGATTTGAAAACACTGGCAGGTCTGTTATTACAAAGTTGCTTTGATGTTGCTACTTTGAGCTTCTGAATAAAAACTGGTATTGTGCCTGGGTTTGTTTTCTCGCCCCGACAGTTTGATATTTCATAAACACAAATGATGTACAGTACCAGTCAAAAGTTTGGACACACCTACTCATTCAAGGGTTTTTCTTTATTTTTACTATTTTCTACATTGTAGAATAATAGTGAAGACATCAAAACTATGAAATAACACATATGGAATCATGTAGTAACCAAAAAAGTGTTAAACAAATCAAAATATATTTTATATTTGAGATTCTTCAAAGTAGCCACCATTTGCCTTGATGACAGCTTTGCACACCCTTGGCATTCTCTCAACCAGCTTCATGAGGAATGCTTTTCCAACAGTCTTGAAGAAGTTCCCACATATGCTGAGCACTGTTGGCTTCTTTTCCTTCACTCTGCGGTCCAACACATCCCAAACCATCTCAATTGGGTTGAGGTCGTGGGATTGTGGAGGCCAGGTCAGCTGATGCAGCACTCCTTCACTTTCCTTCATGGTAAAATAGCCCTTACACAGCCTGGAGGTGTGTTTTGGGTCATTGTCCTGTTGAAAAACAAATGATAGTCCCACTAACCGCAAACTGGATGGGATGGCGTATCGCTGCAGAATGCTGTGGTAACCATGCTGGTTAAGTGTGCCTTCAATTCTAAATAAATCACTGACAGTGTCACTCCTCCTCCATGCTTCATAGTGGGAACCTCACATGCAGAGATCATCGTTCACCTACTCTGCGTCTCACAAAGACACGGCGGTTGGAACCAAAAATCTCACATTTGGACTCATCAGACCAAAGGACAGATTTCCACCGGTCTAATGTCTATTGCTTGTGTTTCTTGGCCCAAGCAAGTCTCTCCTTCTTATTGGTGTCCTTTAGTAGTGGTTTCTTTGCAGCAATTCGACCATGAAGGCCTGATTCACGCAGTCTCCTCTGAACAGTGGATGTTGAGATGTGTCTGTTACCTGAACTCTGTGAAGCATTTATTTGGGCTGCAATCTGAGGTGCAGTTAACTCTAGTGAACTTATCCTCTGCAGCAGAGGTAACGCTGGGTCTTCCTTTCCTGTGGCGGTCCTCATCAAGCCAGTTTCATCATAGCGCTTGATTGCTTTTGCGATGGTTTTTGGACTTGGTCTTTTACCAAATAGGGCTATCTTCTGTATACCACCCCTACCTTGTCACAACACAACTGATTGGCTCAAATGCATTAAGAAGGAAATAAATTCCACAAAGGCACACCTGTTAATTGCTGTTGAGAGAGAATACCAAGAGTGTGCAAAGCTGTCATCAAGGCAAAGGGTGGCTACTTTGAAGAATCTCAAATATAAAATATATTTTGATTTGTTTAACACTTTTTTGGTTACTACATGATTCCATATGTGTTATTTCAAAGTGTTATGTCTTCACTATTATTCTACATTGTAGAAAATAGTAAAAATTAAGAAAAACCCTTGAATGAGTAGGTGTGTCCAAACTTTTGACTGGTACTGTAAATGAGACTTACTGAATCTGGCTTTAAGTCCCCTATTGACTGAGGTGAATGAAGCTACAGCAGCCAAGGTGATAATGACTGGAGTACATTTTGCCTGTTCTCCAAATTGCATTGTAGAGTTTTTAAATTGTGTAGAAATGCTGTAAATGAGCTTGAACATTATAAAGAATCATTGTAGGGGGGGGGGGGGGGGGGGGGGGGAATACCATAGGTTTAGTTGAAATTTCACCCCTGATAGCTACCCTCCAAAGATTAGCTCTGTTGCCTCATGCACAAAAACAACTTCCCATCAATTGGTTTGAAGTAAAATATTTCAGGTAACATTCTGTGCAATGACTATAACTTATTTATGTGACAGTCATGAACTGCAGTATTTAAACTCCTCCTGTATATTTGAAGTGTTAAAGTTGTTTTCTTTACACTGCAGGCTGTTTTGCAGACAAAACATGTCAACTTCAGTGGCACTTATTTTGGGTCCCTTTGCATCCCATGTAGAACATTAAAAATATATATTTAATAAGCTTGGTATTACAATTGAGATGTTTCCTACTACAGGCTTTGCCCAGAGGTCTGGACCTTTATGGCACAGGGGGTAGTGCACACTTGTCTTGTTTTGCAGGGTTTCTGGTTCAAACCCTGCTCCCCCATAGCTACAGACAGTGAATTTGTAGGTCTACTGTTATTGAGATTTTGTGTAAGTGTAGTAATGAGATGGGATTTGAAGGCAATTTATGGACATCAAGTAACTTTCACGGTGACACAAAATTGAAAGTCGAGCATACCCTAAACTGCCACTCCTACTGCCTCTTCCATTTTCTTAAAATGTATAAACCGCTTGTTAATATGTATTCACATATATCATAAATGTTTGCTTTTGGAGACGTGTGGCACGTTTGTTTACTTTCAGGTTACTCACAGAATCACTGGCGTTTTTGCGGAGCTGTTCCTCCTCTCCAACGACCGCAGATTTTACTACCAGCTTCTCGAAGCATGCAGAGCCGAGAGAGGAGCTCATCTGATGGGACATGATTAAATGGGAGGCGATGAGCTTCGGGCTCCCGTGTCCCGTTAGCTCTGGCTTGCTTGCCGACACTCCATCGGCCCCCAGCAGCTGTTGCATAGGTTGCCCCGTGCTGCTGTTCCCAGGATCCGCTGTACCGCTGAGGGACAGGTCGCCTGGGAAAGTCGACGGGGTAGAGGAGCAGAGATTGGGCTGTGAGGACGAGAAGACACGGTCCAACTGTTTCTTTTTCCTTTTAAACATCCATAACCCCGTCTCCTTTTTACTGTCGGGATTGCGACGCTCAGAGCCCAATTTGGGGCTCAAAAACGGTTTGGTTTTTTCTTGGAAATTCTTCCACATCCTCCGTTGATAGGACATCGATTCCTGTCCCTTCGCGGCGTTATCATCCTTGGGTTTGTCCTCCATAGTGCTGGTACAGCAGCCTGCCAGTCTGCGCGCACGGCGTAGTGAATGTCACCGTTGGCTGATGATACTGCACTTCTACTGATCAATTTCCAGCGCCAATGAGCCGCACAAGACGAATGGGGTGCGTGTAGCTCTTCTGGAGCACGTCTCCCCGAATGTGTGCGCCTGAAGTGTGAATTTCATGACAAACGTGGTGTGTGGCGGTCGAACGGTAAGATTATGGAGCGGAAGCGTTGCGCTTGCAATAAGTGTGAAGTTCACACAGGCTGCATGGGCAGAAAAATCATCACACTCATTGGAGTCAGAATCAGATGTCAACACATACTTAATAACTTGTTATGCTTTGGTAGTTAGTAGTTACAATATCAATTTCAAATAGAGATAGAGTAGAGAACTGAATTTAAGTCTGGACATATTAAAAGCTTCAATGCGCCTCCCCCTGGTCAACCGATGTCAGTGGGTTCAAATGATCACATGTTTCATAATTAATTCTATGGCATTGTCAAAGGCTAGTAGATTATGTTTTCATTTTGCAAGAGCGGTGTGCGTGTGCATGCGTGCGTGTAATGAATTTTAGCCGAATAAATGAGTCCTTTTGATGCCTTCCCTCTGTTGTGAATGAATGCACTTTATCTCTGAGAGAAGGGAACACACTCAGAGGATGACCATTTTGGGAGCCTCTAGATATCCTATTTAATTACTAGAGAGGCTATGTCAAAACCCTTTAAGTTCAAGAATGGGGTGAAAATGGCAGCCATATTGGTCAGGGAGAAATCCAAATCAGTCTCATTGGAATAAATGGAAGTAGAGGCATAATCCTGATTTTACTTAAGCAAGAAAATAAAACAAAGGCATGTGATATCAGAAGTTGTGTAATATAATTATTGTTAATCTATAATATTGTTATATAATCATAAATACAGTTGATATGGGTTGTATACACATTTTCTGTATAAATAGCCTCTAAAACACATCTTAATTTTCTTGAAAAGCTGAGATTGCTATTATATGATACAATATCAGTCCTTGTTGCATTTACAACTTGTCTAAGTCCTATCATCTACTGATTTCAACCAGTGTATGGCTGTGGATTGACTGCATTGTTTGAATGGAATGTTGGCATATTGGCAGTTAATTTGAAACAGTTGTCGAATCATTCCTCTAAAACTGTCTGGCTAGCTACTTAACAAACATACAGTGCAGATACATTCTTCAAATTCATTATTTGACACAATATCTGATCACAGTACTGGCAAACCATGGTTAACCAACTCCCTGACCAAAATTGCTGACCTTAATCCCATCATAAGAAGGTTCATGTCCATTGTAATATTCTGATTCCTAATTCTATGGAGGCAACCTCCAGGGGGCCCCAAGAGCCCATGGGCCCCCCGTCTTGCGGGGGCTGCGGGGTTGTGAGGTACGCAAGTGGTTCAGACCACTCCCAGACAGTCCTAGCAAAATTATTGCTTGTGAAATAGTTTTTTGCCCACGTAAACAAAGACACAATGGCATGCAGCCATGTGTAAGTTTGCGTGCGCACACACACTGAGCTAAGGTAGAAAGAGACGCTGACAGTGTAATCCTGTGGGATTGTGTGATGTAAGGAGAAGAAGCAGGGTGTGGCATTCTGGACTAGAGGTCTTCACGGGTCCAATAAGTTGGATCCGTTCCAAAATGGATCCGTGGCTTTCCCACTTGCCCCGAAATGCATAAATACATTTTCAAAAAATGGAGACACGTTCAGAATGGACCCGAGGACAGTCAGACCCGTTCCAAAAAGGACCGTGGAAAACAGACCCGTGCTGGTTCGGATCCGAGAGACCTGTTCAGATCCGAGAGAAAGAGAGATTGAAAGAAAACTCCAACTGGGCGCTGCCAGCGCCATCAATAAACAAGCGATATTGGCCAAGTGATCCACAATTATGTGTCCTTAAAAACTGGATATAACAAATTACAACAAAAATATTTTTTGTGTTTCAATATGTAGCCTATTCAAAATGTTATAGTTGATTGTTTTATTGGTTTTTACTTTCCTAAAACAGTAGTTGTCTATCTCATGGTTCAGCTGTCGGAGATTTGAGCGATATAGGCCTAGGCATCCACTGTATGATATTCATATTTACAAAAGTAATATTAAAGGAGACAAGCTTAGGCACACACACACACAAACACACACACACACACACACACACACACACACACACACACACACACACACAACCATTGCTATTACACCTAGATGAAGGCATTAAAATGGGGATTGTGAGGATGAATATTGTATATGGTGCAATCTGACTGACACTAAATGAGGGACAGGCCAAGGACCAGGATGTACATTTATGTAAGTCATGATCCCTATAAGATGATCTGATGAACTGCTAAAGCACTTTACCTATCAAACCCTCTCACAATTCATTCCATGACACAACTCATGACACCTGAATGTTGAACACACCCCAAGTACTTCATCCAAACTCCACGACTAAATGAACAACTTCAACTCACATGTAAATGTTGTTTCTCAGACTATGGATGGTGCAGGGACTTGGAGACAACAGCAGCTCGGTCCCTGTCTTTCCCTCTGTCCCACTGGAAAATTAACCACCATCTTTAAGGAAACAAGTGGAGGTACATTCTTCATGGTCACAACTGCAACCAATCAGAGCACACAAGCAATTCATTCAAACAGACAAATAAGATCACAGTTCCAAATCACATGACTACTGTAATTCACTGAATAAATGTATAGTGCCTCCACCCTTGTAACATACATATTTATAGGGGAAACGAGAAGGGGGAAAACTCACTCATGAAGGTAGATCTTTTTTCAACAGTCATTTAGACTTGGAAAGGGGTAAATAATTCAAGAGAATGTTGAAAAAAAAAGTACAGCCCAATAAAAAAAATCTTGGATTAAGAGAAGCTCTTAGATGGATTAATTTGGAGGATAGGCTAAATAAATCCCAGCGCTAGTCATCTTTATTTAATGAGCATGGCATCGATTGGAGGGCAAAGGAATGAGACACCAGGCCAGTGTACTGGTGTTGAGACCATCTTCCACTAGAACTTTCTGCGATGGCCCAGAGGTGTTTGACTGGGGTTAGGGATGGGTTCATATGTTCATCTAATCCCTTTCTCTATGAGATAATTAAATGGGCAGAATAAAGTTATCTTCAACTGAGAATGTTCCAATTTAATCACTTACTGTAATCATTAGCATTTCAGCTGGGGCAGTTAAAAGTATTTCCCCTGAGTAGATATTAGCGTTTAGTCTGGGAAAAGTTCATTTTAGCACAGGTTTGTAAATATGTAATTGGCTTGTTACAGATGTTAATGAGGCTCTGCTACAGCAGCAGTTTTCAATGAAGGAGATGGCCAGAGTTGAGTGCTAGCAGACATGGTAACTAATCAAACAGACCATATCGAATACATATCCAGATTTAATTGCTGTGAAATAAGCACTCCAGAACAATCCAATACATTCAATAGCCTCAATAAAAATCCACGTTGAAAAGTGGATTATCTATAAAAATACATTTATATTTGGTCTACCACCACACAAACACAGGAAATACTACACTCTATTGCCAAAATGACTATGCTTTAGCCACTAAAGTATTAGAGAAAGTTAAGATGGTTTGCTTGCTGAGCTCAGTACTAACACAACATCAATCCCTTATTATCACGTTGCCAAGTCAACACTAGCACACCCCATTCAGCGTTACTGCAGTAACCAAGTGAACAGCACAAACACATTAAGCACAACATACTGTAGACCAGACATTGGTTTGTAAGTATCCTGCATTTTCTTTTGTAAGTTTACTTGGTGAATAACACTTAATAAAATGGTATACTACAGAGGATAATGGACTTCTCAGACAGGTTAATAAGTAAGATGTTAAGGGAGTTGAGATAAGGTTGATGGAAATAGCATTACTTGTATCTTGTGTTTGAATTGAAGAGCAACCTCCCGTGACCCCATTTCCATTTACTGCAACAGCGAATGGAATTAATGTTATCTGTCAGAAAATAATTGTGCTTTAAAGGTGAAAGCTGTTTTGCATGCTTAACAAAATGTTATATCTTCTTTTCAGGGAAACAGAAAACTGTTATGAAAAGGAACCATGTCACATGAGTCGATGTTACAGCCGTACCAGCCTAATGACAAGTGAGTTATACCTACAGTGCATTCAGAAGGTATTCAGACCCCTTCCCTTTCTCCACATTTTGTTATGTTGCAGCCTTATTCTAAAATGGATTAATACAAAATAAATCCTCATCAATCTACACACAATACCCCATAATGACAAAGTGAAAACAGGTTTTTAGAAGTGTTTGCAAATGTATTAAAAATAAAAAACAGAAATACCATATTTACTTAAGTATTTACACCCTTTGCTATGAGATTCAAAATTGAGCTCATGTGCATCCTGTTTCCATTGATCATCCTTGAGATGTTTCTACAACTTGATTAGAGTCCACCTGTGGTAAATTCAATTGATTGGACATGATTTGGAAAGGCACACACCTGTCTATATAAGGTCCCACAGTTGACAATGCATGTCAGAGCAAAAACCAAGCGATGAGGTCGAAGGAATTGTCCGTAGAGCTCATAGACAGGATTGTGTGGAGGCACAGATCTGGGGAAGGGTACCAAAAAATGTCTGCAGCATTGAAGGTCCCCAAGAACAGAGTGGCCTCCATCATTCTTAAATGGAAGAAGTTTGGAACCACCAAGACTCTTCCTAGAGCTGGCCGCCCAAACAAACTGAGCAATCGGGGGAGAAGGGCGTTGGTCAGGGTTGTGACCAAGAACCCGATGGTCACTCTGACAGAGCTCCAGACTTCCTCTGTGGAGATGGGAGAACTTTCCAGAAGGACAACTATCTCTGCAGCACTCCACCAATCAGGCCTTTATGGTAGAGTGGCCAGACGGAAGCCACTCATCAGTTAAAGGCACATGACAGCCTGCTTGGAGTTTGCCAAAAGGCACCTAAAGGACTCTCAGACCATGAGAAACAAGATTATCTGGTCTGATGAAACCAAGATTGAACTCTTTGGCCTGAATGCCAAGCGTCATGTCTGGAGGAAACCTGGCACCATCCCTACGGTGAAGCATGGGGGTGGCAGCATCATGCTGTGGGGGTGTTTTTCAGTGGCAGGGACTGGGAGACTAGTCACGATCGAAGGAAAGATTAATGGAGCAAAGTACAGAGAGATCTTTGATGAAAACCTGCTCCAGAGCGCTCAGGACCTCAGACTGGGGCGAAGGTTCACCTTCCAACAGGACAACAACTCTAAGCACACAGCCAAGACAACACAGGAGTGGCTTCGGGACAAGTCTCTGAATGTCCTTGAGTGGCCCAGCCAGAGCCCGGACTTGAACCCGATCGAACATCTCTGGAGAGACCTGAAAATAGCTGTGCAGCGACGCTCCCAATCCAACCTGACAGAGCTTGAAATGATCTGCAGAGAAGAATGGGAGAAACAACCCAAATACAGGTGTGCCAAGCTTGTAGCGTCATACCCAAGATGTCTCGAGGCTGTAATCACTGCCAAAGGTGCTTCAACAAAGTACTGAGTAAAGGGTTTGAATACTTATATAAATGTTATATTTCGTTATTATTTTTATTTTTTAATTGCAAAAAAGTATAAAAACCACTTTTTGCTTTGTCATTATGGGGTATTGTGTGTAGATTGATGAGGGGAAAAAATTAAAAACATTTTTGAACAAGGCTGTAATGTAACAAAATGTGGAAAAAGGGAAGGGTTCTGAATACCTTCCGAATGCACTGTAAGTGTTTCAAAACTGACCTTCAAAAAGTCTTTCACAATTCCTTTCTGTAGCAACCCTCATTCAATCAGTGCAGTGGAGACATTCAGTTTGCACCATAGTGTGTCAGAAAATGTGAATAATTATGTGGATTATAATTAGTTGATATACATTATTTGGGAGGGGTTGATACATGTTTTGTTAAGGCAAATCAAGTCTGAAATGTTGAAGTGGAAATTATAAACTTCAGAAGTCTTTTTAACCTCGAATACGCTACATGTTTGCATTGCCTGCCGTGCAGGAAAATTATCAGCAACAAAAGAGTGATCAAATGAAGATCCTACATCTGTAGCTTCATCAGATACAGATGAATCACATTAGTAAGAAACAAAACTGGTTATAGCACAATACAATGTCAAACCCCATGCCAAAACGGCAGTATGTACATCAAGTGTTACCAGAGGAATCTAAATCTTCCTCCTTTTCCCCAAGGTCTGATGTCATAGAAGGCCGTCTGACCAATCAGGAGAGTATGATGAGCGTGCTGCTTGAGCAGGCGTTGAGGATCAAGGAGGAGGTGGTGGCCAGTCTGCACTTCACCGAGGGCACTGTCCAGTCAGAGACCTCTTCTCGCAGGCTGCTGGAGAGCCACATCCACACCATCACACACATCGTCAAACAGCTCAGCACTGACATCCAGGTAGTAGCCTGTGGCATCCTGTGTCTCTCTCCATTGTTGTCATCATGTAGCATACATACAGGAAGAGGGTATGAAGATACAACCAAAATACTGCAGTCACATACAGTGGGGGAAAAAAATATTTAGTCAGCCACCAATTGTGCAAGTTCTCCCACTTAAAAAGATGAGAGAGGCCTGTAATTTTCATCATAGGTACACGTCAACTATGACAGACAAAATGAGAGAAAAAAAATCCAGAAAATCACATTGTAGGATTTTTAATGAATTTATTTGCAAATTATGGTGGAAAATAAGTATTTGGTCACCTACAAACAAGCAAGATTTCTGGCTCTCACAGACCTGTAACTTCTTCTTTAAGAGGCTCCTCTGTCCTCCACTCGTTACCTGTATTAATGGCACCTGTTTGAACTTGTTATCAGTATAAAAGACACCTGTCCACAACCTCAAACAGTCACACTCCAAACTCCACTATGGCCAAGACCAAAGAGCTGTCAAAGGACACCAGAAACAAAATTGTAGACCAGCACCAGGCTGGGAACACTGAATCTGCAATAGGTAAGCAGCTTGGTTTGAAGAAATCAACTGTGGGAGCAATTATTAGGAAATGGAAGACATACAAGACCACTGATAATCTCCCTCGATCTGGGGCTCCACGCAAGATCTCACCCCGTGGGGTCAAAATGATCACAAGAACGGTGAGCAAAAATTCCAGAACCACACGGGGGGACCTAGAGAATGACCTGCAGAGAGCTGGGACCAAAGTAACAAAGCCTACCATCAGTAACACACTACGCCGCCAGGGACTCAAATCCTGCAGTGCCAGACGTGTCCCCCTGCTTAAGCCAGTACATTTCCAGGCCCGTCTGAAGTTTGCTAGAGTGCATTTGGATGATCCAGAAGAGGATTGGGAGAATGTCATATGGTCAGATGAAACCAAAATAGAACTTTTTGGTAAAAACTCAACTCGTCGTGTTTGGAGGACAAAGAATGCTGAGTTGCATCCAAAGAACACCATACCTACTGTGAAGCATGGGGGTGGAAACATCATGCTTTGGGGCTATTTTTCTGCAAAGGGACCAGGACGACTGATCCGTACAAAGGAAAGAATGAATGGGGCCATGTATCGTGAGATTTTGAGTGAAAACCTCCTTCCATCAGCAAGGGCATTGAAGATGAAACGTGGCTGGGTCTTTCAGCATGACAATGATCCCAAACACACCGCCCGGGCAACGAAGGAGTGGCTTCGTAAGAAGCATTTCAAGGTCCTGGAGTGTCCTAGCCAGTCTCCAGATCTCAACCCCATAGAAAATCTTTGGAGGGAGTTGAAAGTCCGTGTTGCCCAGCGACAGCCCCAAAACATCACTGCTCTAGAGGAGATCTGCATGGAGGAATGGGCCAAAATACCAGCAACAGTGTGTGAAAACCTTGTGAAGACTTACAGAAAACGTTTGACCTGTGTCATTCCCAACAAAGGGTATATAACAAAGTATTGAGAAACTTTTGTTATTGACCAAATACTTATTTTCCACCATAATTTGCAAATAAATTCATTAAAAATCCTACAATGTGATTTTCTGGATTTTTTTTCCTCATTTTGTCTGTCATAGTTGACGTGTACCTATGATGAAAATTACAGGCCTCTCTCATCTTTTTAAGTGGGAGAACTTGCACAATTGGTGGCTGACTCAATACTTTTTTCCCCACTGTATAAATATGGTCTGTTTTCAGTTGACATTGACAATAAACTCTATAATAACAGCCAGTAAACAGCACATAGAGAACTACACAACCGGTTCATGTAATCATGTTCATCATAATCATGACCATAACCCGCATGTGTGGTATTACTGTACTGTATAGACAAGTTTAATGAAAACACTAAATATAACACTATTGTAATGGAAGGAGTACATTTAATACATATCATAATAATTATTGTGTCATAATATGTCAACGGGCTGTGCTCCTAACGTTGATCAATCATCTGTAGTGGCAGTGTAGAAACCTGAGAGCGGTGAGTATAGGAGCGCGAGGTCAGCGTGACGAGAGAGTGTTACAGATGTAGGATCTTAATTTGATCACCCTTTGTTGCTGAGAATTTTCCTGCAATGCAGGAAATGCAAACTTATAGTGTATTTGTGTTTTAAAAAGACTTCTAAAGTTAGTAATTTCCACTTTGAAATGTCTAACTTGATTTGCCCTAACGTAAAATGTATCAACCCCTACAAAAATATTAATTTATTATAATCCCCATAATAATGTACATTTCCTGTTGCTGCAGGATTATTTAACTGCTGTAGAAAACTGGCTCAAATTAAGATCCTACATCTGTGAGTGTCTCTGTGTGAGTCTCTATCTTTCTCTCCCTGCCGGATCAGGCTGATTTGATTATGCTGCACTGAGCAAAGCCTCACTGAATCTCATTCAGAGCTCATGGCGTATTCCTCATAAGTAAGCAGAAATTTTTACGACATCCAATAAACCTCAACGAGTTCTGGAACGGTTGCCAACAGGGCCACTTAAAAGAGGGATTGCATAATAACAGTGGTGCATGAAATAGATAGATCAAACAGATCCATATCTGAGGTAATCTTTTCCTCCACAGAATAATGACCTCACAGACACAGAGGACATGGCAAAATGTGGGTTTTTATTTTGACAAAATGTTTGTCATTCGCTGTTACTGCATCTGAAATGAAAACTATAAATTATCAGCTAATTAGTGTGTGTGAGAGAGCGAGAGAAGCAATAGGCAGAGCCAGGAATTTACTCCTCTACATGGAAAAATAGATTATCTGCAAGGGTACAGTCGTGCGATATGGAGTGAGTGGAGCGTAACTCATTTGAATGGTTCTGCGAGTGATTGTCCATACAAAAGGAGAGTAGTACGTGAGGGATGATGATCTCTAGCAATAGGCCTATACCATCTGACAGTGTCTCTATCTGTTCTCCCCTCAGTCTCTGAAGAGTCAGATAGCCCAGTGGGACAGTGTCACCTCTGGGACCTCTTTTGCTATGCAGAGTCTGGATCACAAAAACCTGGCTGGCATTGGAGACCTCAGGGGCAGGGTGGCCAGGTATACATTTACTATAACTGAGTCACTGTCTCTCACACACTCATACACTCACACAAACAATAACACCCATTAGTGTTCTGATGGGTTGCATGAAAGTCTGTTTCATTTCCATACCTAGCAAAGCAGAACTTTACCATTTGCATTATGGAAATTATGTTGCTCCCATTCTTAGAAGTGTGTGTGTGTGTGTGTTCGTGCGTACGTGCATTGAGTGTGTTTGTGTATTTGATACTCGTCCAAGTAGAAAAAATGCTAGGGAGCATCTCCCCTCATCATATTTGATTGACCATCTAGAGTTCCATATCTGCTATCAAAATCTGGCAAACATAGAGGTGTGAATATAGATTTGTAATCATGAGGAATATACAGTGGGGGAAAAACGTATTTAGTCAGCCACCAATTGTGCAAGTTCTCCCACTTAAAAAGATGAGAGAGGCCTGTAATTTTCATCATAGGTACACGTCAACTATGACAGACAAAATGAGGAAAAAAAATCCAGAAAATCACATTGTAGGATTTTTAATGAATTTATTTGCAAATTATGGTGGAAAATAAGTCTTTGCTCACCTACAAACAAGCAAGATTTCTGGCTCTCACAGACCTGTACCTTCTTCTTTAAGAGGCTCCCCTGTCCTCCACTCGTGACCTGTATTAATGGCACCTGTTTGAACTTGTTATCAGTATAAAAGACACCTGTCCACAAACTCAAACAGTCACACTCCAAACTCCACTATGGCCAAGACCAAAGAGCTGTCAAAGGACACCAGAAACAAAATTGTAGACCAGCACCAGGCTGGGAAGACTTAATCTGCAATAGGTAAGCAGCTTGGTTTGAAGAAATCAACTGTGGGAGCAATTATTAGGAAATGGAAGACATACAAGACAACTGATAATCTCCCTCGATCTGGGGCTCCACGCAAGATCTCACCCCGTGGGGTCAAAATGATCACAAGAACGGTGAGCAAAAATCCCAGAACCACACGGGGGGACCTAGTGAATGACCTGCAGAGAGCTGGGACCAAAGTAACAAAAGCTACCATCAGTAACACACTACGCCGCCAGGGACTCAAATCCTGCAGTGCCAGACGTGTCCCCCTGCTTAAGCCAGTACATGTCCAGGCCCGTCTGAAGTTTGCTAGAGTGCATTTGGATGATCCAGAAGAGGATTGGGAGAATGTCATGTGGTCAGATGAAACCAAAATAGAACTTTTTGGTAAAAAACTCAACTCGTCGTGTTTGGAGGACAAAGAATGCTGAGTTGCATCCAAAGAACACCATACCTACTGTGAAGCATGGGGGTGGAAACATCATGCTTTGGGGCTGTTTTCTGCAAAGGGACCAGGACGAATGATCCGTGTAAAGGAAAGAATGAATGGGGCCATGTATCGTGAGATTTTGAGTGAAAACCTCCTTCCATCAGCAAGGGCATTGAAGATTAAACGTGGCTGGGTCTTTCAGCATGACAATGATCCCAAACACACCGCCCGGGCAACGAAGGAGTGGCTTCGTAAGAAGCATTTCAAGGTCCTGGAGTGGCCTAGCCAGTTTCCAGATCTCAACCCCATAGAACATCTTTGGAGGGAGTTGAAAGTCCGTGTTGCCCAGCGACAGCCCCAAAACATCACTGCTCTAGAGGAGATCTGCATGGAGGAATGGTCCAAAATACCAGCAACAGTGTGTGAAAACCTTGTGAAGACTTACAGAAAACGTTTGACCTGTGTCATTCCCAACAAAGGGTATATAACAAAGTATTGAGAAACTTTTGTTATTGACCAAATACTTATTTTCCACCATAATTTGCAAATAAATTCATTACAAATCCTACAATGTGATTTTCTGGAGAGAAAAAAATCTCATTTTGTCTGTCATAGTTGACGTGTACATATGATGAAAATTACAGGCCTCTCTCATCTTTTTAAGTGGGAGAACATGCACAATTGGTGGCTGACTAAATACTTTTTTTCCCCACTGTATGAGTTCCAGGCAGGTCAGATGAATCTCTCTGATAGGAAATGAGGATCAGTGTATGGGTCACAGCAGGTTAACCCACTCTAGATTATAGATGATGTCATGCATGGAGGTTGAGGAGTACAGTAAAGGGAGGGAGAGAAGCGGATGCTCAGTGCTGTGTTGATTTAGTGCCAGCCAAGGTTGTCTAAAGCTCTCCAACTTTAACTATTTACCTCTTTTGGGCAATTCATGAATAATCAGGTACGTTGTCTGCTGTTCTTGTAAACAAATCAAACTAACAGTAAAGTACCAGTAAAAGTGTCCTTATACAGTATCAGTCAAAAGTTTGGACACACCTACTCATTCAAGGGTTTTTCTTTATTTTTACTATTTTTTACATTGTAGAATAATAGTGAAGACATCAAAACTATGAAAAAATACATATGGAATCATGTAGTACCAAAAAAGTGTTAAACAAATCAAAATATATTTTATATTTGAGATTCTTCGAATAGCCACACTTTGCCTTGATGACAGCTTTGCACACTCTTGGTATTCTCTCAACCAGCTTCATGAAGTAGTCACCTGGAACGGATTTCAATTAACAGGTGGCACACTTAACCACCATGGCTACCACAGCATTCTGCAGCGATACGCCATCCCATCTGGGTAGGGCTTAGTGGGACTATAATTAGTTTTTCAACAGGACAATGACCCAACACACCTCCAGGCTGTGTAAGGGCTATTTTACCAAGAATGCGAGTGATGGAGTGCTGCATCAGATGACCTGGCCTCCACAATCCCCTGACCTCAACCCAATTTAGATGGTTTGGGATGAGTCGGACGGCAGAGTGAAGGACAAGCAGCTAACTAGTGCTCAGCATATGTGGGAACTCCTTCAAGACTGTTGGAAAAGCATTCCAGGTGAAGCTGGTTGAGAGAATGCCAAGAGTGTGCAAAGCTGTCATAAAGGCAAAGGGTGGCTATTTGAAGAATCTGAAATATTACATATATTTTGATTTGTTTAACACTTTTTTGGTTACTACATGATTCCATATGTGTTATTTCATAGTTTTGATGTCTTAACTATTATTCTACAATGTAGAAAATAGTAAAAATAAAGAAAAACCCTTGAATGTGTAGGCGTGTCCAAACTTTTGACTGGTACTGTAAATCTCATTGTTGCTCTCCACAAAGTGCTTTGTAACAAAGCAAAGGGGAAGCTATGTGATGACACAATACATTTAGCTGAAGCACTGTTTGTGTTGATAAAAGGCATTGAGCAATGGTTCCCAACAAGGAGTAGGAGGACCCCTGGGGGTACTTGGCCTATCCACAGGGGGTGCTTGAGAAGACTCAGGAGGCCATAGGCCTACTGGTCTAATGCACATGAAGGGGTAATTCAGGGGTACTCCGGACAGAGCAAAATTCAGTTGATAGTACAGTAACCGAAAAAGGTTGGGAACCATAGGACCAGATCAATTAAAGAACCATAAAGCTATACAGTGGAGTCAGACCAGTGGTGGTCGGTGCCGTTTAAGATGAAGAGGACGATAATTGTTTTACTGAGCATGGCCTTATTTCTATTACAGCGTATGACTGCACATTCATAATACATTCACCCAGTTCAATGCAACATCGATAGATTTAGGCTAATACATTATACTAAAATGTTCCCTATACCCATCATGAGGTTGCTACAACCTAGCCTATGAATGAAAGTTTACAACGTAGGTGCACAAGTCAAGACAAATTTGAGTAATCAAGGTGACAGACATTTACATATTCAATACCGCCTTGCACGCTCTTGCCTGCATCTAGCTGATAAAGGGTGTAAGCATTAGTCCAACAGTTGCAAAAGAGAGTTCCTATTGGACAAATTCAGGTATGATTATCCACATTTCGTTCAGTTTGCTTCGTTTGAGATATTTTTTCAACAGAATTGGACGGAATTGAATACACCCCTGATCACATGCAAACACAGTTCACTTTCATAACAGCCACATACAAACAGCATGATCCCTTTGATCCTTGGATAATTCCTTCTTGCATCTACGCGCTCTCCTCCTCTCACCTTTTCCCTTCGCTCATGGACTTCAGTGCACAACACATCAGCTGTCTGTGACCATGCGAAAAAACCTTTCCAAGCCAAACCTTCATATCATAACCGCTAACAGCTACACACAGCCTACATTGTTGCAACCATATTATCTAACATCAAGTCAACATAGCAACTGGAACTAACGTGTTAGTAAACCTGCTACAATCATGCAGTACAGTTTACAGTTAGCAAGCAGTATAGCAGTTACACCAGCGGGCCCTGGTGGCAATACATTAATGAGACCAAAAGCTTACCTTAACTTGGAAGAGTTCCAGTGTTGGATAGCCATAACCAGCTAGGTAACATAGCATCCCTCTCTGTTTGAGCCGGGTGTTTGAGTAGGCTAAGCTAGCTAGCTGCATTCGCTAGATAAGGAAGTGAAAGTGCATTTTTTTGTTTAAATATCTCTCTCTCTCTCTCTTGCTTCTCCTTCATTTTTTAAGATATGTATTTGTTCAAAACTGTTCAGCTATGTTTTCCTCTCTCTCTCTAGCTGTAGCTTATTCTTTCAGTACTATATTCATTCTCTGATCCTTTGATTTGGTGGACAACATGTCAGTTCATGCTGAAAGCTAGGTTGGCGGACGTCCTCCGGAAGTTGTCATAATTACTGTGGAAGTCTGTGGAAGGGGGTGAGAACCACGAGCCTCCTAGGTTTTGTATTGAAGTCAATGTACCCAGAGGAGGACGGAAACTAGCTGTCCTCCGACTACACCATGGTGCTACCCTTCAAAGTGCTGTTGAGGCTGCTGTAGACCATTGCATAACAGTGTGTTTTAATAATAATAATAATAATAATAATATGCCATTTAGCAGACGCTTTTATCCAAAGCGACTTACAGTCATGCGTGCATACATTTTTGTGTATGGTTGGTCCCGGGGATCGAACCCACTACCTTGGCGTTACAAGCGCCGTGCTCTACCACCAATTATTTGGTGACGTGAATATATTTAGCATAGTTTTATCTAAAAATGATAACTTTTTTAATGTTTCACATTTTTAAAAAATGCAATTCACTGAGGAGGATGGTCCCTCCCTTCCTCCACTGATGAGCCTCCACTGAGTCAGACACTACTGTAAAGGAGCTGCTGTTAGTCAATTTGAGTTAGCTTCACATTAATGTTCAAAAGGTGCCTTTATGTGAACAATTCTATGAATTTGCATATACCCTGCATTGTTGATTAGTATCTGTCACATGGTGAAACGCTTGGGGTTATCCATTCTGAAATGTGTATTCAAAAGTTCAAAACTATATTTGCCTTGCTTGTATAACATTGGGCAATTCCACTTTAAAACAAACTTTAATAAACCATACAACTCTATGCACAAGGAGTACTTTTAATGATGTACACTGAACATTACAAACACACTTTTACTGGAAGAACTGTTCAGATGCAAAGTTTGGTAACAGAATTTTCGTAAAATCTCCCTCAGCTTTTTATGTGACCACGGTTTTCCAGAATTGCTCCGAATTACGATTCAAGATGTCTGCAGAAAGAATGGGGTGTCAGCTATGACATGACACTTTGAAAAAAATCAATTTTTATTAGTGAACTACAGTAAGTGAAGTGAATTTACACCTGATAACATAATTTAGTTAATGAAATTACTTAATGGGTCCCTGATTTACTATACAGAAATGCATAATTATGGGTATGAATATCATTCTCTTCATGGCGATATAGCCTGAAAAGGTATACAAAGGTAGAAATATACAATATCCTCCTTTGCATATTTGAGTAATATTCTACACACCGGCTATTATTTTACTCTGCGCACAAAATACCAAATTTGGTTGGTCCGCACCGGACCAAATCTGTACAAATCATAGACATCTATAGTTCAAAAGTTTGGACATCAAAGTACAGCACAGTATAGCTCAGTAGACTATAGTAAAGTATAGTACAGAATAGTAGAGTATCGTTCAGTACAATACAGTACATTACAGTGTACTCAACTCTCGTGTGCTCTACTGTACTACACTTTATTCTACTCTATTCTACTCTACTGTACAGCACTGTACTGAACTTTACTCAACTTATTTTTACTTTACTGTACTGAAAAATTGACGTTCAGTGGCGTGTATTCATGGATGCCAAGGGAAGCCAGGCTTCCCCAAACAATTGACCAAGAAAAAAAGTAAAATAATGTATATTTCGTCTCTCTGTGTTTCATAATGTTCCTTCGATTCGCAAGAGGCTGAATGTATCTCACAGGAGAATGCATCCGAGCGAGCGAAACACTGCCATCTATCTGATGCTGTCTGGTCCAAACGAGTATGACATTGTTGCTGCCTGCAGCATTTAAGGCAAGGGAAGCCAGCGAGCATCTGGCCTTCCTTGACAAAAAAGTAAAACAAATTAGCCAATCAGCGTTGAGCTAAACTGAGCGAGCTCAACTGTGATAGACCGTTTCGTCAACATGAAAGAGAGGAGGATGGCATTGGCGTTTCAACATGTTATTCTACTTGAAGGAACACGCACGCACACATGCACAGAGCAATCAGAACCATGGACAGCCTCATCATATTTAGCTTACGTTGAATGGACTAAATTGTTTTTGGTATCTTTTAGTTGTCACTATATTAGACTAAACAGAGGTGATTTGATGATGTTGAAATGTTGAAGTTGAAATGGTGCTGGAATAGTGGAGGCAGTTCCTGTTTTCTTTGTGACTTGCGGTAACTCTCTGTGGTTCTAAATCAATAGTTGTTTAGTGGTCCAAATATGTCGGAAACATTAACTTGCTTGACCATGCTGTAGGTCATGTAACTGTCTGTTACTGTACATGCAATATGCTTTGTGGACTACACTGGACAGAGGTTCTATCCGGTTTTGTGATAAAACAAAGGTGTGGTTGAATTTATTCTGCCTTATTTTCTCTGCCTTTAGGCCTATGTATCGCAAGGCATATGAATTAACAGGTTATAGAGCAAACAACACAATTATCACAACACATAGGTTGTAATATGGCTTTTATTGCTTGGCTTCCCCAGTAATTTTACCCACACACCGCAACTGTAGATGTTTATGATTGATTCAGATTTGATCTGGTCCGGACTGGACCAAATCTGAACCAATCATCCACGTCTATGTTTGGGCCAAATCAAGACCAGTCCGGACCGTACCAAAAAAACCGATGTCTGTGTATGTTGAAATCAATGCCAGGGCGGACTGACCAAATTTCAATTACTTTTAAACGTCCATGGACGTCTGGATCCGGTTGGTACTCAGTGGATAAGGATGCTGGTTACAGAAAATGGAAAGAGAGGGAGCTCATGGGTAGGTGTCAGTAAGAGTCGGGAGAGGTGACATTAACTGGAGAGAGAGAGAGAGATAGAGAGAGAGGCAGAGAGAGAGAGCGAAAGAGGGGTTGTCTAGACTGTTTCACACTTGCTTTGACCACCAGACGACAGAATGAGAAAGAAAACAGTTATGAGCTGAACATAACAATATGCCAGTGGAAGGGAGGACTGTAGCAGGTGACTTAACTGTAGTTTATGACTATTATTTTACCTTTTAAGACATTTTCTGGTAAATATTTTCCAAAACCCCTTTTCCATCTGTTTGATCAGAAATCAAAGCCTTTTGCTTATTCCTAATTTTTTGGATGGAAAATCTAAACAAACAAAAAAAAAAAAAAAAAAATTTATCAAAAATATAGACTCTTAGCTTTCATTTGACACCCAATTTGACAAGCTCCTATGAACTTCCCAGAGATGGTCAAGCCAAGTGGGAGTGTGTTGTACTGTAATGGTACAGACAGCTGTCTTTCCCTGTCTCACTCTCAGGTGTGATGCCAGCATTGCCAAGCTGTCAGGTGATGTGAGCGACAGGGCACAGAAGATCGTCAGGCTCCAACAGGAGGTGTCAGAGGTCAAGTCAGGTTTGGGAGAGCGACTGAGAGAGATGGACATCAAGGTTAGAGGCTCTGAACAACTGGACTGCTTGTAGTTCAGACTCAACCTGACCAAGCACTTCACAACAAGATGCATAAAGGAATCTCCCTTTCATTTTAGCTTCCTTTACTGAAGGAACCAACATTGCCTCTCGCTGAATACATACAGTATATTGTAGGAATGACGACTGTAGCAAAAACTGATTGGACTTTGTGTTGGACGAAGAGTGAAAGAGGATATTACCCCAGGCCACTATTCTCTAATACTCTTATTTTATGAGAAAAGCACTTTTCAGACAAAAAAGGTGAAGGTTGACAAACACATGAAGGTTTTAGAGCCTAAAACAGCCTCAGTTTTGATTGTGTCTAGCCAGTGAATTGCACAAGTTGTGTTGATCCATTCTCTTGTGATCAATAACAGAAAAAATACAAAAGCTCAAGCTATGTTTAGCTCACATACAGCATGTCTGCAGTCGTCCTCTACTCCCATCTTGGCCTTAGAGCCAACCAGTCCCAATATGCCCTACTCCCTGTGCTGTAGAGCCGGGCATTAAATCACTGGGATTGCGGCACATTAACTCTGGAGGAGTGGTCAAGATAATTGGAAAGTAGAGGAAAATGGGTTGCCTCCATTAGCACAAGGCAAGAGCACAAACCACAACAACGCTGACTCATAACAACAAAAAAAAGGTAACTCAGGCGAAATGACACTGTCATTCTATGCATTCATGCATGTAGTTCACTGTGCCATAGAGAACACACATCACAAACTATATACATACAGTTGAAGTCGTAAGTTTACATACACCTTAGCCAAAGAGATTTAAACTAAGTTTTTCACAATTCCGGACACTTAATCCTTGTAAAAATTCCCTGTTTTAGGTCAGTTAGGATTACCACTTTATTTTAAGAATGTGAAATGTCTGAATAATAGTAGAGAGAATGATTTATTTCAGCTTTTAATTATTTCATCACATTCCCAGTGGGTCAGAAATTTACATACACTCAATTAGGATTCGGTAGCATTGCCTTTAAATTGGTTAACTTAGGTCGAACGTTTCTGGTAGCCTTCCACAAGCTCCCAAAATAAGTTGGGTGAATTTTGGCCCATTCCTTCTGACAGAGCTGGTGTAACTGAGTCAGGTTTGTAGGCCTCCTTGCTCGCACATGCTTTTTCAGTTCTGCCCACACATTTCAATAGGATTAAGGTCAGGGCTTTGTGATGGCCACTCCAATACCTTGACTTTGTTGTCCTTAAGCCATTTTGCCACAACTTTGGAAGTATGCTTGGGGTCATTGTCCATTTGGAAGACCCATTTGCGACCAAGCTTTAACTTCCTGACTGATGTCTTGAGATGTTGCTTCAATATATCCACATAATTTAACCTTTAACTTCCTGCAGCAAAGCACCCCCACAGCATGATGCTGCCACCCCCGTGCTTCACAGTTGGGATGGTGTTCTTCGGCTTGCAAGCGACCCCCTTTTTCCTCCAAACATAATGATGGTCATTATGGCCAAACAGTTCTATTTTTGTTTCATAAGACCAGAGGACATTTCTCCAAAAAGTACGATATTTGTCCCCATGTGCAGTTGCAAACTGTAGTCTGGCTTTTTTATGGCAGTTTTGGAGCAGTGGCTTCTGCCTTGCTGAGCGGCCTTTCAGGTTATGTCGATATAGGACTTGTCTTACTGTGGATATAGATACCTTTGTACCTGTTTCCTCCAGCATCTTCACAAGGTCCTTTGCTGTTGTTCTGGGATTGATTTGTACTTTTTGCACCAAAGTACGTTCATCTCTAGGAGACAGAACGCGTCTCCTTCCTGAGCGGTATGACGGCTGCGTGGTCCCATGGTGTTTATACTTGCGTACTATTGTTTGTACAGATGAACGTGGTACCTTCAAGCGTTTGGAAATTGCTCCCAAGGATGAACCAGACTTGTGGAGGTCTACAATTTTTTTTCTGAGGTTGGCTGATTTCTTTTGATTTTCTCATGATGTCAAGCAAAGAGGCACTGAGTTTGAAGGTAGGCCTTGAAATACATCTACAGGTACACCTCCAATTGACTCAAATGATGTCAATTAGCCTATCAGAAGCTTCTAAAGCCATGACATCATTTTCTGGAATTTTCCAAGCTGTTTAAAGGCACAGTCAACTTAGTGGAATTGTGATACAGTGAATTATAAGTGAAATAATCTGTCTGTAAACAATTGTTGGAAAAATTACTTGTGTCATGCACAAAGTAGATGTCCTAACCAACTTGCCAAAACTGTAGTTTGTTAACAAGACATTTGTGGAGTGGTTGAAAAATGAGTTTTAATGACTCCAACCTAAGTGTATGTAAACTTCCGACTTAAACTGTATATCTTTTTTTATGCTATATATACATTTTCTAAAACATTCGTAAATCAACTTTTATTGTTTAAAGAAATTATGAAAGAGATTGGTGTGTATTTTCACTTTCTAATCATGGCATGGGTTTGTTCAATGACATACAGTACATGTATTTGTTTAAAATCTATCACTTGATCGTTTCATTTCAATCATGTTTTTTGCTATATATCCGCCTCACTCTCAGATAAATAAGTAGTACTACTAGGTTTTATACAGTCAAAGGTAACAAATAACTACATAACATTTGTGACATCAATATAGAAAAATATAAAAAAATTATTCAATACAGCAGTATGAGATCTTTATGTAAAACATTTACATTTGACATTTTAGTAATTTAGCAGATGTTCTTATCCAGAGTGACTTACAGTAAGTGCATTCATCTTAAGATAGCTAGGTAAGACAACCACATTCACAGTCGAATATACATGATACGAACATTCCATTCCAGCTAAACAATGGATGTATAGCGTTTTGCAAAAGAAATTGCATTTTAATACACATCTATTAATAAAAAATATAGCAAATATAGAATATAGCGTTTTGGAAATAAACTCTTCATGTGTATGTCACACAGGGGCCAGGTTTGAGGCTGAGTTGACTGTTTACACTGCCTGCCTGTCTGTTTGCCTGCCTGTCTGCCGTCTGTCTGTCTGTCTGTCTGCATTCCTGTCTGTCTGGAGTGTCCATACATACAGGGACCTTTAAATATTTGGATCCGTTTTTAATGTAAATTTGAATGGTGGATTCAAATAATGTATTTAAAAAGTGTGTGTATGTGTGTGTGTGTGTGTGTGTGTGTGTGTGTGTGTGTGTGTGCGTGTGTGAGTGTGTGTGTGTGTGTGTGTGTGTGTGTGTGTGTGTGTGTGTGCAGCTGTCTCAGGCAGTTAGCAGACTGGAGGTGTTGCTGGTGGAGCAGACCCACGGCCAGAGAAACAGCTGGACTGATCTGCACAGCCACATCAAGCTCCTGGAGGCCAAGTGTGTCTTGCGCTCTTACAGTAACCCCTTTACCACACACACAACCTGGACACTGACCTTTAAAAGCCTGTAGCGAAACAACTTAATCATACTGTTTATGGGGGGGGGGGGGGGGGGGGGGGGGAATACTAATACTAGTAACTATGCTGTATTCTATGTCACAGAATTTAACAGTACATAATGTGGTAGCACCATGAAGGTACTAGGTCAAAGCCCCTACATCAAGGAAGCTTAGTCCTACATATTTATTTTTCAAAGGCAATATAAGAGATAGCTCTCTCCTTGGGAAATGCACAACCTTTGCCATTATAAGTGGAGGCAAAATCATTATTCAATGTTAAAGCCCTCGTTTTTGTATTTTTACAATGGAGACACTAAGATCTGACCCAAGCAGGTAATTCATCTGTATCTACTGCATCATGGCCTGGCGCCAGTAACAGGTAATGAATAGCTTAAGCACATCCTGTTGCACAGCCGAGCCCCTTCAAACCACATGCACACACACAAACACACACAGACACACAGGCAACGGTCATTGAAAGTTGTAGAAGGTTAAAAAAATTTAATAATTATGAATGCAAGTTGTACAATGGATAAAGACACTCCAAACTAAAATCCATCAGATGACTGAATTACAGTATAGCACATAAAACATTTTACTGGCAAGGACAAATAATGAATGGAGTTCAGGCATTTTGGTGGGAATTCAGGTATTCCATTTATTGTCATATTTAACTTTTTTTCTTATAATGCACTCAAATCCACTGAGTGTACAAAACATTAGGAACACATTCCTAATATTGAGTTGTACCCCCTTTTGGTAAGAACAGCCTCAATTCATCGGGGCATGGACTCTCCATGCTGGCCTGTGGAATTGCCCATATATACACTACCAGTCAAAAGTTTGGACACACCTACTCATTCAACGGTTTTTCTTTATTTTTACTATTTTTTATATTGTAGAATAATATGAAGACATCAAAACTATGAAATAACACATATGGAATCATGTAGTAACCAAAAAAGTGTTAAACAAATCAAAATATATTTTATATTTGAGATTCTTCAAATAGCCACCCTTTGCCTTGATGACAGCTTTGCACACTCTTGGCATTCTATCAACAAGCTTCATGAGGTAGTCACCTGAAATGCATTTCAATGAACAGGTGTTCCTTGTTAAAAGTTAATTTGTGGAATTTCTTTCCTTCTTAATGCGTTTGAGCCAATCAGTTATGTTGTGACAAGGTAAGGGGGTATACAGAAGATAGCCCTATTTGGTAAAAGACCAAGTCCATATTATGGCAAGTACAGCTCAAATAAGCAAAGAGAAATGACAGTCCATCATTACTTTAAAAAATGAAGGTCAGTCAATACGGAACATTTCAAGAACTTTGAGTTTCTTCGAGTGCAGTTGGAAAAACCATCAAGCGCAATGATGAAACTGGCTCTCATGAGGACCACCACAGGAATGGAAGACCCAGAGTTACCTCTGCTGCGGAGGATAAGTTCGTTAGAGTTACCAGCCTCAGAAATTCCAGTCCAAATAAATGCTTCACAGAGATCAAATCACAGACACATCTCAACATCAACTGTTCAGAGGGGACTGTGTGAATCAGGCCTTCATGGTCAAATTGCTGCAAAGAAACCACTACTAAAGGACACCAATAATAAGAAGATACCTGCTTGGGCCAAGAAACATGAGCAATAGACATTAGACCGGTGGAAATGTGTCCTTTGGTCTGTAGTCCAAATTTGAGATTTTTGGTTCCAACCGCCGTGTCTTTGTGAGCCGCGGTGTGGGTGAACGGATGATCTCCGCATGTGTAGTTCCCACCGAAAGCATGGAGGAGGAGGTGTTATTGTGTGGGTGTGCTTTGCTGGTGACACTGTCAGTGATTTATTTAGAATTCAAGGCACACTTAACCAGCATGGCTACCACAGCATTCTGCAGCGATACGTCATCCCATCTGGTTTGGGCTTAGTGGGACTATCATTTGTTTTTCAACAGGACAATGACCCAACACACCTCCAGGCTGTGTAAGGGCTATTTGACCAAGAAGGAGAGTGATGGAGTGCTGCATCAAATGACCTGGCCTCCACAATCTCCCGACCTCAACCCAATTGAGATGGTTTGGGATGAGTCGGACGGCAGCATGAAGGAAAAGCAGCCATCAAGTGCTAAGCATATGTGGGAACTCCTTCAAGACTGTTGGAAAAGCATTCCAGGTGAAGCTGGTTGAGAGAATGCCAAGAGTGTGCAAAGCTGTCATCAAGGCAAAGGATGGCTATTTGAAGAATCTCAAATATAAAATATATTTTGTTGAACACTTTTTTGATCAGTACATGATTCCATATGTGTTATTTCATAGTGTTAATGTCTTCACTATTATTCTACAATGTAGAAAATAGTAAAAAATAAAGAAACACCCTTGAATGAGTAGGTTTGTCCAAACTTTTGACTGGTACTGTACATTAGGTGTATTTGCACACATTAATAAATAAATAAATATAAAGCGGTGGATCAGGGCTGTAACCTACCTGCGCCCACCTGCGTTGTCTAGACTTCCTCATTAATACTGTTGTTGTCACATTTTCTTGCATAATTCATTAAGTGCGTCAAGAGAAGGAGACCCTGGCGATTTAATATCATAACACTTGGCTCTAGATTACACCTATCTATACATACTTTACATTGTGTGCGAGATCAGACATAATATCACTATAATCCGAGTGTTCCTTTTTGGAAGTTGCTTTCATTTCAGCACATCTAATTTGTAAACGTTTGAACTATATTAAATCATTACTCTTTTCAATTGCACAGAAAATGTGTCTAGACAATGCGTTACATCGTCAACAAAGCATCAGCGCAAGTGGATTTTGCACCCCCCAAACACAGGAGCTAGATGGTTGAAAAGGAGAGATCCTCAGGTGGGCGTGGCATGTGTGTTGCTACAAGCACCCACACACGCAGGTACACAACCCACAGAGCGCTAATACCGACCCTAGAGGCTGCCTCACTGAAACTCTGTCAAGAGGTAACACTTGATGATGAGAGCAATGAGGCATGCTGTATTTTAGAAGCTAGGGGGTGAAGACATAGCGTCACACCCTTGAGGCAATTATTGATGAGTCATTGAGTATATTGTGCCACTACTTGCAGAAAGCCTTTTTGGAAAGCTAACTCGGCATATCCAAGGTGGCAGCTTTCCCTGCTCTGTTTTTGGGACTTTCCTCTGCTATTTTAGATTAGTGTGAATAAAGTGGACAGATGGCTCTCTCTCCTCTCTCCTCTCCAATGGGGAAAGCCTGGCTGTGGACTTCTGATGGAGAGGCAGCATTTGAGTGCAGCAGAGTGAAGTGCTTGGCTTGCAGACCAAACAAAACAAAGAGTATGCTGTTTCTGAGAAGGTCACTGGCATAACTACCCAAGAGAACATACTTTAGGGTACCTCCTCCTCCCATCCAAGTGCAGGGCCTGCTAGACCAACACACTCATTTAATAAGAAGTGAGATGCTGAACATTCTTTACACCCTAAATCTTAGATAGACTATTGAGATAGTTGTGCAACTGTTTAGGTTGATTTCTCAGTGCGCCATCCTTAACAGAACAAACTGCCAGAGGTGACTCTTGTGAGGTGTATATGATAGTTCACAATCCTCAACAATCTGTACCCAGTTGCACGTGGATATCAGATCAATAACATTTATATTCCTCCTGCAGGAGCTCTGGTGGGGTAAGGGAGGCGAGGGAGGACACAAACAGACTGAGGATGTGGACAGAGCAACAGCTACGTAGCTCAGCACAGGCACACAGACATGGCAGCGAGGCGCTACGGTCACTACTGCAGGACAAAATGGTAGTATGCCTTTATGCGTGTGTTAGTGTGTGTCTGTCTGTCTGCTGGACTATGGTAAGGCGTGTGGGTGTTTGCAGGTGGAGGCGGATGGGAGGCTCAGTGAGCAGTTCAGGCTGCTGTCAGTCCGTGTGGAGAGAGCAGAGATCCAGCTGGAACAGGAGCGCCAGGCAGACAGGGTGAAGCACTCGAAGAGTAAACTCCACAGCAGGATCAGCACAGTGGAGACAAGCCTCCGGGAAGAGCTGCAGCTGATCAAACAGGACTACCAGTCAGGTCGCTACTTACTCCCTCACTAACACTGTCAATATCAGAGACAGGAGACCTATACCAGGAAAAACTCTGGGTATTAGGTATAACTTATATAAGGTGTGGATGACTGTCACAATAGGGGTCAGAGAAGGAACGATAAATAGGACAACTGGGTAAGTGCATTAAAGACCTAGATCCAATGGCCTACATCAGCAATGAGCTCCCAGCTTGTATTTCTTTGGCCATGTTAAATGACACACCTAACTAACAGCGTTCTCCTCCCAGGTGTTTGGGCCTGTTCTAATTAAGTAGGCCTGATAAGTGCCACCAGACCTCAGAAACTAATTTAGAATGGTGCCTTTTGGAGCAGATAGATGATGAGCACAATATTGATGCATAGTTACAGCAGTCCCAAATGCCATCTTTCACGAGACATCAGGTAAGTCAAACATATCAAAGAAAAAAATTTGTATTGGAGTTTCCATAAACAGGGTCTATTCAAATCGATCCACTCGATGTGACATGAAAACAAAATAAAAAGCAACCAAGGGAAGTAAACAAATGAAAATGTAACAGGCTCTTCCACCAAGCCTTCAAGCATGGAGTTGGGGTGATGTTATCTATGTCTCTATCTCTCCGTTAATAAGTCATGGGGTGGACGTAAGCACGGCAGCCTGTTGTTGGGTTGACATCTAATGCCAATTTCCTGATGCCAATTTCCAGCTCATTTCCCCAAGGAGCTGATGTTGGCTCTAAGGCCTTCACTCTGCAGGGCTTCTGAAACCCTTGACAAAAAGCAAAGGGACAGCTCAGTAAATAAAACCAGCAATAAACCCAGTGATGAATCATGCCTCAGTCTCAGCCCCTCAATCGTTCGCTCTGTCTTCAGAGGAATGAAGGGAAAAGAGAGGGGAGGAAAATGCATAATTGACAAGGTTCTTAATGTTCAATACAGAGCAGCAGCAGTAAGGCAGAGCCTATAGGAGAGTTTATGAAGGCTGTAAATCATGTTGCAGGGACTGACTCTCCTTATCCCCCTCCACTCTGACGGCCAGGGTTCCAGTCTATCCATGATGCCATAGACTCGCTGAGGCAGATCGGTGACACCAAAGCCCGGCTAGACAAGGAGAAGCTGCAAAAGGACATCAAACAAATCCGCAGGAAGATGGTGGAGCTGAGAGATGTGTGACACCACAGGTCACACTGGAGTATGGGACTGCATGGTCACACAGACCAGTAATGACATCTCATATTCAAAATTGTATATTATCTTGAATGACACAGAAGTCCATGATCACTGGGATCCACATGGTATATTGAAGTGTGCTACTCTTAAGGATTTTGATGGAATGCTTTCACTTTGAAACCTTTTCAAATCACTGATTTAATAGCAAAAATATATAATGTAGTTAATCTGAAGCAAATCTTTCCTCAAAATCCCAGAAATGTATCTTTGTGTGATGTTATTATATCTCATCTGAAATTAATAAAGTTCATAATGAAAGTACAACTTAGCAATATTGACACAATCAAGCATGAGAATTTATTTCCAAATGCACCTGTCATCTCAAAATGCCAGCATTTCTTGTTCAGGTACTGTCTCAAGAGCTGAAGGGTACAGTATTTCATATTATTACAGCACTATATTACAGCAAAATGCATCTCACTTCCAGCTCCTATATCAAGGAAACAACATTCGACTATTGAGATGCAGCCAAACGTCTGTTCTTTCAAGTTGTTACAGTCGCAAGCCTAGTTGCAACTGTTGTAATAATATATTGTTGTCGACGAATTGTCTCTGGAAATCAACTGCACAAACGTCTAGCCTGCTCTAGTTGTAAATGCGACATTTTCGCTGCTGTGTATCTTGAATTTCAGGATGTAGAGTGCTGTGAAAAAGTATTTGCCCCCATTTAAATGTTCTACTTTTGCATATTTTTGATACTGAATATTATCAGATCTTCAACCAAAACCTAATATTAGATAAAACCTGAGTGAACAAAACACAATGACATACAGTACCAAAAGTATCAAAAGTATCACCAGTATCAAAAGTTTGGACACACCTACTCATTCAAGGGTTTTTCTTTATTTTTACTATATTCTACATTGTAGAATAATAGTGACGACATTAAAACTATGAAATAACACATATGGAATCATGTAGTAACCAAAAAAGTGTTAATCAAATCAAAATATATTTTATATTTGAGATTCTTCAAAGTAGACACCCTTTTCCTTGATGACAGCTTTGCACACTCTTGGCATTCTCTCAACCAGCTTCATGAGGTAGTCACCTGGAATGCATTTCAATTAACAGATGTGCCTTGTTAAAAGTTAATTGGTGGAATGTCTTTCCTTCTTAATGCATTTGAGCCAATCAGTTGTGTTGTGACAAGGTAAGGGGGTATACAGAATATAGCCCTATTTGGTAAAAGACCAAGTCCATATTATGGCAAGAACAGCTCAAATAAGCAAAGAGAAACGACAGTCCATCATTACTTTAAGACATGAAGGTCTGTCAAAATTTCAAGAACTTTGAAAGTTTCTTCAAGTGCAATCACAAACTCCATCAAGCACTATGATGAAACTGGCTCTCATGACGACCGCCACAGGAAAGGAAGACCCAGAGTTACTTCTGCTGCAGAGGATAAGTTCATTAGAGTTAACTGCACCTCAGATTGCGGCCCAAATAAATGCTTCACAGAGTTCAAGTAACAGACACATCTCAACATCAACTGTTCAGAGGAGACTGCGTGAATCAGGCCTTATAATAATAATAATATGCCATTTAGCAGACGCTTTTATCCAAAGCGACTTACAGTCATGCGTGCATAATTTTTTTTTCGAATTGCTGCAAAGAAACCACTACTAAAGGACACCAATAATAAGAAGAGATTTGATTGGGCCAAGAAACACTTGCAATGGACATTAGACTGGTGGAAATCTGTCCTTTGGTCTGATGAGTCCAAATGTGAGATTTTTGGTTCCAACCGCCGTGTCTTTGTGAGACGCAGAGTAGGTGATGGATGATCTCTGCATGTGTGGTTCCCTCCGTGAAGCATGGAGGTGTGATGGTGTGGGGGTGCTTTGCTGGTGACACTGTCTGTGATTTATTTAGAATTCAACACCCCTCCAGAACCATATTTAACACCAGTCGGACATTCTTTACCAGAACACCGCGGCATCCATGCGAGTGATGGGCATTCTTTCTATATTCTATTATTGTTTCTGCAGTGAGGATTCACCCTCTTTAGATAATTATTTTGTTACTTATCTGCAGAGAAACGTTGTTTTGAGCACAAAAAGCAATAGTAGCAGTATGCAAATCAGGGAGCCAAATGAATGGCTCTTTCCCAAATGCGATTCGATTCCCGACGTTCACCAAAAAGATCTGTTCAAAAATAGCCGTTCGTTCGAACGACCCATCACTAATCCATGCTAAAGACATGGTGCCGGTAACACTGCTGAGACACGGAGGTAAACAAGACATTACATTAGAAGTGTTACTATTTGTTTGAGAATGATAATGGTTCAATTATAGCTAGATGATAGAGTTAAATTATACCAATGACTGTTAAAGTAAACTATGAACCGTGCACTCAACATAGAGAAACAATGAAAGCAAATGTCAAACTGTTTCCGCAATAAAGTTATGTATGGGATATAAAAACAAACTGCCGCATCGTTTTTATATATGCTTATTCACCCCCCTCCCTGATTTGAAAGGAAATGACTTGTATATGAAATATAGTAGGAACTCTCACTAGCCCTTGTCTCCAGTAAGCCAATGCTTTTAGATAGTAGTGAACGAGTGCACCCTTCAGGAGAAATGAGATATTATTGGGACGCAGCCATAATCTCTATTTCACACTTTAGCCCTCAACTCTGCTCTCGCCTAACAACAGGTTGTACCATGAGAGCAAATCTTAAACTAAATGTGTCTAACACTTCCACATTGGCAATAGTAAAAGTCCCTTCCACGTCCAGCCATAGGAGACGCCCAAAAAGCTCTATGTCCATTTGAAGGACCTGTATGGGAAATGGGTGTAGCCCTCTAACAAGACTTTGAATCAAGTAGGAGAGACTATTGTCCTTGAACCGTTCCTCCGCATGCTGGCGCCAGAGCTGCAAGTGTGTGTCAGGGAGCATGACACGGCAACCACTGCTGAAGCTGCAACCCATGCCGACACCTTTGTGGCCTCCCGCCACCAAGCCCAACCCTGGGGTTATGTCAAGTGGGAAGCAGCAAAATAACCCAGGAGACAACAAACACCATCCTTCCAGACTCCAAAGGCCACTCCAGCCATCACTCCTAAGGACCATCATTTTAGTCAAGACCCTCCCTCTAGGCTCCCGGGCAGAGTTCCCATTTGTTACCAGTGTGGTCAGGAAGGTCATACTAATCCCTTGTGCCCCAGGAACCATACTAAAGTAGCCCAGATGTGTATTTTTCCAAGGTTCAAGTGCACACTGGCAGTATGCAGACTCTGGTGCAGAAGAAGTTGATTCCTACCCACACGTGGCACCAAAACTCTAAAGTTGCCATCCGGTGTGTCCATGGTGATGAGAAATATTATCCCTACAGCCAAGGTTTACTTGAAACTCCTCAGAGTAGGCCTAGCTTACTCCTTGCCTTTCCCGGTGGTGCTGGGACAGGATCTACCAGTACTGTGGGAACTTTTGTCTCCTTTCTGTGCCAGTAACGTGGTCCTTACTAGAGCCAAAGCCAAGTAAGCTGAGTTGCAGGCCCAGACCCTAGCACCTTACCCTCCTATCAGTCTAAATTTGAGGGAGTGCCAGGAAAGACTCGCACGTCCAAGAGGCAGTGCAGGGCAAACAAGTTCCAACATACAGGAGACAAGTCCAGACAGGCTTTAGGGTCCCTAGCAACATTGTTCAGCAACAGAAACAAGACAAAGAACTGGGCCCTCTGTATCAACAGGCCCTAGTGAAAGAGCAGTCAGGCTAGGCTGAAGCAGTTGGTAGCACTGAGGAGGGTTACGACCTTCAGAATGGAGTGTTGTACCGTCGGCAAGGTCCAGACCAGCAGTTGGCTGTCCCAGAAGAGGCCTGTGAGCGAATACTTACCTTAGGTCATGCCATCCCCTGGGCAGGACACCTGGAAAAGCACAAAACCACAGAATGTATCATTTGCCACTTCCACTGGCCAGGCCTACGGGCTGATGATGTTGCCAAATTCTGCAGTAGTTGCCCTCGGTGCCAACAGACTTTGGCCAGAGGCCCATCCAAAGTACCTTTGCAACCCTTACCTGTCATTGATGTACCATTTAAGCGGATTGGAATGGACATTGTAGGTCCAGTGGAGAAGAGCAAGTCTGGGAACCATTTCATGCTTCTCATCAATGACTATACTACAAAGTACCCAGAAGTCTTCCCGCTGAGATCCATCCCAGCCCGGTCAGTAGCCTCCCTAGTTCAGCTATTATCTAGGGTTAGTTTCCCTGAATAAGTTTTAACTGACCAAGGCTTGAACTTCATGTCCAAACTGCTGAAACAAGGGCACCACTTACTGGGGATCAAAGGCCTAAGATCAACTCTGCATCATCCTCAGACCGATGGGCTGACGGAGAGATTTAACTAGACCCTGAAGCAGATGCTCTGTAAGTTTGTCAGTGAGACAGGCTCAGACTGGGATCAGTGGATCCCCTACCTTCTCTTTGCATATTGGGAAGTGCCACAGGCCTCTACTGGCTTCTCCCCCTTTGAATTGCTCTATGGCTATGATGTGTGAGGACCCTTGACTCTGCTGAAAGAAAAATGGTGAAGTAACGAGCTGGTGAGAGCAGAACCCCAAAATGTAATTTCCTATGTTGTGAAAATTTTAGAAGTTGAGCACTTTTGCCCAGGAGCACATCTCTGAGGCCCAGTAGCACCAAAAGACGTGGGATGACCAGTCAGCCAGAGACAGGAGCTTTGATCCTGGGAAGAAAGTGCTCATAATGCTCCAGAAAGCAGCAGTTTGCTTGACAAATGGCAAGGCCCTTTTGAGGTCACCCAGGAACTGGGGCCTACCACGTATGAGATAGCCACACCTGGAGAGGTGCTCTCACACAGGGTCCTGCATGTGAATCTCCTGAAGGAGTGGTTTCTAAGACCTGAGAAGCAGACAGATGTAAAACAAGGGGTTAATGATCAGGACAGTGGAGGAGGAAGTCAAAGTGCAAT